AAGTCTCCAGTACCTTAGAAACATTAATATATATAAAGGGACCAAACTCAAATGTAGAAATAAGTACATTTATTATATACCTAGTAAGAGCACAAAGATTAATAATATAGAAAGTGAACTAAGTTTCACTGAACCCTACTGTGCACCAGGCCCTGAGCAGCCTTGCAAGCCAGCTATAATTTCCACCACACAACTTAACTCCAGCTTCACAGCCTCCACTCTCTGGAGCTCAGAAAGATTCTTCAAACTGGTATGAGCATGAGTGCTCTCTTCCCAGGGTCTTCTCTACATTCTTCATCATAAATACCTTCTTTGCCATTCTAGACCCTGTGTGTGTCTTAGTCCATTTTGGGTTGCTATAACAGAATACCATAGACTTGGGTGGCTTATTAGTTTCTTACAATTCTGGAGGCTGGGAAGTGCTAGATTGTGGCACCAGTATGGCTAGGTTCTGGTGAAGGCCCTCTTTTGGGTTGCAGGCTGCTGACTTCTTGCTGTATGCTCACGTGGTGGAAGGGGCAGGGAGATCAGGTATCTTTTATAAGGGCACTAATCCCATTTGTGAGGGCACCCCACTCATGACCTAATCACCTCCCAAAGGCCCCACTTCCTGATACCATCACACTGGCATTAGAATTTCATGACATATGAATTTTGTGAGGACACAAACCTTCCGACCATGGCACTGTGTAACTTTCCCAGAAGGACCCAGTAAATGGGCAGGTGGGTAAGTGCTTCCTACATTGTATGGTCCAATCACAAGAACTTTGTTTACCTTTACATTTAGAAACCTTTGACATTCTATTAGATAATTAACTACAAAGAGAAAACAACAACAATAATAATAATACTGTCCATGCAGGGAAAGCATGGAAACTGAGTAATTGACTTCTTAATCTCAGCTTCTCACCACATAGCAGAGATTACTCTTATTTTTCTTGAAGACAAAAGCAGTTCTTTTAGATTTATTTCATTTGATAAATCTTGTTTGATAAGTAGCATGTTTTCATTTTATCCATTCAGATTTCTAACTGGTATCTCAAACTTTACATGTTCAAAACTGAATTCCAGATGTGCCCTCCATTCCCCACCCTCCATTCCCCATCTCAGAAAACGGACACCCCATTCTTCCTGGTAACCAGTCTAACAGCCTTAGAGGAATGCCCTCTTTCTTTCATACCCCACATCTAATCTGTCAGCCCTGGCAGCTCAACTCTCAAAATAATGTGTTAGCTCTTAGCTACAACTCAACTGCTCCTCACCACCCAAGACCAGTCCCCAGACCAAACCATCAGGCCTCCCTTTGATTACTGTGTCTGTCCCACTTTGTGCCCCTCAGTCCACTCAGCACAGCAGCCAGAACAACCCCCCCCACAGCCTAGCTCATATCGCCTCTGCTCAAAACCCTCCACTATGACAGCGACCACAGGCAAATTCTCTTTGGTGGCCCAAAGCCCCGCGCTCAAGGACTCCGGCCACCCTGGACTTCCTGCTATTCCTCAAAAGCAGCAGGTAGCCTGCAACTTCAGGGCCTCCACCCAAAATGTCTTCCTCCCCCTACACGGTGCTCTCGCCTCTTGCAGGCCTTTCCTCCACCACCTCCTCTAAGGTGAGGACTTCCTTGGCCACTGTGTTTTAAATTTGTAATTGTCCTATAGTGGTATGCTCTGCCCAGTACTCCCTTCCCCTGCTTTCCTTTCCTTCAAAACCCTAATTGTCAGCTAACATGATGCCTTTGACTCATTTGTTTTATTTTTTATCCCCCCATGTAGAATCTAAACTCCTCAAGGTGGGATCCTATTTTGTTCTCTGCTATCTTCCCAGTTCTTCGAACAGTGCTTGCCACAAAATAGATGTTCAATAAATATTTGTTAAATGATTGAAAGAAATTTTCAAATGGGGACACTGAGGCCGAGAGAAGTTCAGTTTTTGCCCACAGGACTAGTTAATGCCAGGGGCAGGATCAGAACTCAGCCAGCGCTCATTTCACTCTCTCAGTCTGGTTTAGGAGGCAAGAGGGCCGCCACCCTGCCAGGAGAGCTGGCTGGCAGGGCTGGGCCGTGGGAGAAGCACACATCAAGGTTCAAATATAAATCCTGCTACAAGTACTGAGCTGAAACATAAACAACTCTTTTGGCAGGATTGTTGACAGTCTGAGATTAAGAAAAATAATTTGAAGGCATATGCTGAAGCTTTCCAGTTTTAAGACTGGCTGTAACTATTTTTCTTTCAGCTGTAGCTTTCTGGGATAATGAATGTACCATATGTCTGTACCTCCAGGTTCCCATACAAATTAGGAAACTAAAAATGCCAGATGATTGAAGCAGATTTCTGCTTGTTTCCATGGGAAATCAACTGCTGTGAAACCTTAGGAAATGGCAGGGAGAGTGTGTTCAGCTCAGGGAGCTCTCTGGAGAGTGGTACGCTCTGCCCAGGCTCCAGTCTACAGGCTGTCAAAACGTTGACAGGTGAGACACTGTCCTAGGCTGGCCACCTACTGGTGGCTAAGTCAGAGTGTGAAGGTCAGCACAACTTGTCCTGCTCCTCTGAGCATCCAGTACCAGGGGAGGCTGGCCACTGTCCTCCAAGCCCTCCAGCATCAAGTCTCTGACCAACTGTGCTAGGAACAGCACCTCACTGCTGACAGAGAGACACTTAGTAATGCAGGGACCCCAGCCTCATCCTCAGTGAGGCTTCAGCACATTCTGAGTCCTCCAGCAAGTTTTCTGGGGGACAGAGAGGTCTACCACCAAGGATTTTTCTGGAAGAGTCACCGCTTGCTACTTACAACTAGATGGAGTTAATTCAGGGGAGTCAGGCAGGTGGAGGGGAGGCATTCTGTAGACACAGCCAAGTATGCCCTGGCTGGCTGCGTCAAGAATGTCTCTGGAAGGCAGTGATGGTTTCTTGCTCCTGCCTGCCCCGAATTAGCACCAATTTGCCTAAAAGAGAGAATGCTGAGAGAAAAGCCTGCAAAAAATATTTCAATACTGTCTTGCCAGTGGCTGCCTCTGACTTACATAGGGAAAACTGATTCAGACTCTAGACTAATTTGAGAGGGAAAAGAAAACCTTTCTCTGCTTTCCTAACTGAGAGTGTGACTTGGGCATGCCAGGGTAAAGCCCAAAGCTGGAAGCACAGGGTGAATGTGGAGTTTAAATTTGGATTCAGACAGCCCTGGATCTAATGCTCATCCTCTAACCTACCAGTGATGAAACCTCAGGGAACCCGGAGCCATTGTTTGTGGGTCTGTACAGAGGCCATGCTGATACCTCTTCCTCCTCGGGGAGGTCATAAGGCTGAAATAAGCTAATTTAAGTACAAGCGCTCCACTGAGTCCTGCACAGAGCCTTGGGGCTTCTTTTATCTTTCTCCCTGTTGCTAGGTTTTACTGCCAAAATTGGAAGCACACAGCTTGGTGCGGAAGGAACAGACGCTGCCCTTCCTCCTGCCATAGCCGCGAGCACTTGTAGCTTGATTCTCCTCAGAATTGCTACCGAGGGTGTAGATGGTGCAGAGGATTCCAAATCTTCACACAGAACATACCCATTTACTCGTAACTCTCTAGCCAGGCTTTCCCATCTTGCCTAGGTGGAATGTTTCTCAGAGAAACTAAGTGGAGAGGGACACTTCATTGTCTTCTGCCCAAATAAATCATTGGTAGGACCCTGTGGAATTAAGACCATAAATCACAATGCATTCCAGATGCTTTGTCCCAGGCTAGTCAAAACATTTTGACTCCTCTTGTCTTCAAATGATTTACAGGCATGATTCCTTAGCATGAGGACATCCTAACAGACTCTATGTAAGCCAGATGAGAGGAAGCAGTATTACCATTTTGTGGTCCTGGGGAGGCTTTTAGTAAATCAATCTTTCCATTATAGCTGTGATATACATTATGCTCTGGTGACCTGATCTATTTCTGTAAGTTCCAATAATAGCTACTTAATTCTGTCTCTATTCTGAACTCAAGAAAGTGCTACACTTATGATTACAGTTTTCTTTTAAGGATGTAACTCAAAAAGAGCCAAATGAAGAGATGCTTAGGGCAAAGTCTAGTGGAAAGCAGAGCTCCTGTGCCCACTCCCCATGGAGTGAGGGCTGGTCACCTTCCAGGTACATCTATGTGTTCGCCAGCGGGGAAGCTTCACTGAGCCCTGGTGTCAGAATTTTTGTTGGGGGGGGTCTCATTACATAGACATGATTGATCTCAGTCTCCAGGACCCCGGTCCGCCTTCCAGGGCAGGCTGGCCTAAAGTTCCAGGCCTCTAATCATGTCGGTTGGTCTTTCTGATGTCCAGGCCCCATCCTGAAGCTATATAGAGGCCCACGGGAGTCATCTCACTACCTTAACAAAGACACTTCTGTCACTCAGGAAATTCCATGGGTTTTAGGAGCTCCTGACCAAGAACCAAGGACAAAGACCAAATAAATTCTTTATATATTTATATTCATTAGTTCACTGTGATCCCATCATTATTTACAGACCATCAGGGCTTTGAGTCTAAGCTTTTCCCTTTGGGCAATGGGGAGTCACTTAAAGAAAGCAGAAATGATCATTTATTGAGCAGCTGCTATGTATTCTATTCTATCCTACTGTTCACTAAGCAGCCAGCCATTCATAATATACATGCTGAGAGCAGTACATTTGGAAGGTAACCTAGGCAACTGCATGGAGGGTAGTCTGGACGCAGCTAAGACATGAAAAGACTGGGAAGGAGGCAGCGACCCCCGCATAGCCATGAAGTGGTGAGAGCTAACCTGGGGGAGCAGAAGTAGAAATGGAAATGGGGGAAAAGGGGACGATTTGAGAGGGATTTTGAAGGAAGATTTCAACTTATCATTTAAGCTTTATCTCCATCACAAACTACTACACTATGAGTAGAGAAGTTAAAACTACCTTTCTAAAGAAATCCAAGTCATATTGATAAAGTGGCTCTTTTGTGATTAACTTGTGTTCTAAACAGTAAAAATTTAATAGAAAGATCTTAGTATTTTACCTCTTGAACAAACTTTGGGGCCCTGGCCCTGATCTTTAGTGCCATATTTCCATTGGTTCTTCAGATAAAACGTTGACTCCTCTTGTCTTCAAATGCTGACCTGTTTCTGTTTTTAAATGAAAATGATCAGTTTTTACTTTTCAAATAGCCTTTTGAGTTTTGTTCACTTTTGAGTACAAGGCCTTCTTCCCCTTGAAGATCACAAATTCATGAAGGGGCTGGAAGATATAGGCATATACTCTTGTATAAATCCTGTATGAAAAAGAACCTGTAATGCTGATGTTTAAAACTGGCTGTTTCTTGCTAAATGCAGATTTCAGTAAACAATAAAATTTTTCTAATTTTTCAGTGTATGCTCTTTTTTTCCATAATAGAGACACTGAACTAGGACACTGAATCACTGAATTTTTTTTCAATATCACAAGTTTGAAAGTTCTGGGGGGAGAGAAATGATTATTTTAGTGTATCATGGGTGATACATTAAATTGAAATAGACAAGAAATAGTAAATATATATATATATACATTTACTTTTTAAAATTATTATTACATATCAAGCTATAAGACGTTGACTTTTAAGAAAATTGGCAACCAGTAACTCTTCATGTTTGTCACACACACAAAAATTGAAGAGCCTTCCTTTGACATCATATCAAAATAATTAAGTCAAGAAATAATTTTTGAGCCTCAAGTGTATATGCAACAAGAAAAAAATGTAAAGTGTCAAAAAAGAGAAGACACCATTAGTTGTTGAATATTAACCAAGAGTTACACGTATTCCATGTTTGCAATGTGGCAGGCACAGTTTGAAGACACATGTATCAAATCACCTAGTCCTCACAAGCACACTTTAAAGTGGGCACTATAATCCCTATTATCTATGGAGAAACTGAGGCTCAGAGAGGTTAAGCAACTTATACAAGTTCTCACAGCTATGGAAGATTAAAAGATGACTAGTTATCAGAAGAGTTTTTAGGAAAGAAAGTGTTAGAAAATTTCGTGGAGATAGGCTTTGAAAAGGACATTTAAAGACATTGAATTTGGAGGAGAGTGGGGAGGTGAGAAAAAGGAAGTGAGAAATTAAGAGGCAAAGAAGTCAAATTCAAGGAGGTGGTAGAGAGCTGTAAAGCCACCGGAGGCATGTACAAATGTGATTAGAAGGTCCCCTCAGAGTAAACAACTATAACATTTAGGAAGACAATTTTGCCAAGAAACGTTGGGTACACAGGAAATTCAGTCATATAAACTATTCTTAAAAGATGCAATGCAGGTTAAAATCCAGATACATCCAAATCCTTTTAGTTAAGGAATTACAAGACTTCCATGCAATTACTTGAGGTCTCCCAAAGATTCGGAGATTAATTCATACTTGCTTTTCTTAAACTTCTAGATTTGAGAGGCACAAAAGTAGAAAGCTCCACTCAACTCTTGGTTAGGCAAGGTCTTGACAAGAAAAGACAGATACCCACCAATCTCCACAGAAGTTGTTTGGCAAAGACCATGCTGAGTCCCTCACTTTCTTGTGAAATGCTGCAGAAGGGTATCTCGCTCTTGGCATCTGTCCGTTTGTCTTCAGTGGTCGGCACACAGAACAGATCTGAGGCTGCAGAGAGTTTCACATGAAACCTTGAAACCTTCCAGTCTCTAGTTTTCAGAAATCATTTTGGCATTTCAGAGGCTGGGCAGCTTCTGAATGTTATGCATTAAATGATTCCCTCATCATTCTAAGAGTCATCCAAGATTTTTAAAAATCCTTTCCCCTTAAAGCACTCAGAAGTACCCCCTCTCCCTTCCCTCACTCCACACTTCCTGGGAGACTGGATGGGATAGGCTGCCAGTCTGATTGGAGGAAAAGCATTGTGACATGACTGTTAGTCTAGATAGGATCACAATGCACCATTTGGGGACTGTGGCAATTGTGGGTGATCATTACTCCTGATCATGAAAAATTAAAGCTTGCCCAAGTAGAGAACTGGTAACGTTAAAAATGGTTTTGCTTTTTCTTCCTCCTCTGGATACAGACTTAAAGACAAACACTCAACATCTACTGTGTCTTTGTTTTAGATTATTAGAAAAATTTTGAAGGGCATCTTATGTTAGGGGTTTGAGCTACATCAAAACCTTATGTGGAAGATTTCAAGGTGTCTTAAATGGAGTGTCTCCCTCCAAAAAGTTGGTCTACACAATATCTCCCTCCTCTCCACATGTGCTGATGATGGACACAATTCACCTTTAATGGTCCTGAGATATATTCTGTATTAAGAAATGAAGAACAAAATATTATATCTAGGAAGATGATAATCTAGAGATAATACTCCAAAAAAGTAACAACATTGATGCTTATTTCTCTGAAGTATTCAGGAAAAATTCACATTTTACTTAGTCTACAAATAGTCTGATGTTACAAGGCAGGAAGGGAGTTGTAAGAATGTACGCTTCAGAGTCAAGCTGTCTGGATTCCATCCACGGCCGTACCACTTATTAGCAGCATTACCTTGGACAAGTGACATGACCTATTTTTGCCTCAGCCTCCCACCTGTGGAATGAGGACAGTGATAGGACCTGTTTTGTAGTGTTGCTACATGGATAGAATGAAATAACACATGTAAAATGCTTTAAATTGTGCCTGGCACAAAATACTCAACAAAGCTTAATTTGCTCATCCATCTGTGGCATTCAAACCACTGTTATCAAGTTATCAGATTACTTCTTAAAATTTCCAGACCAAATTATTCCCAAACCAAGTATTGTGTTATTATGAAGTCCCTGAAAACCTTTCAGTCAGAAAGTGTTTGTTTCAGAGCAATGGATGAGAAGCATTGTTAGAGAAAAAATAATTTTGAGTTCTGGTTTGGCCAATGAAATCAACAGTTTATATGAAATGACATCAAATCAGATGTAAATAGACTGTTGTCTGGGGCATTTTACAAGCTGAAGAATATTGGGGGCATTCAAGAAATCTGGATGTTTTCAGTTTCCTAAATAAGGCCACAGTTGTTTTCATGTTGTGGTACAATGATTCGAGCTCTGGTCACATGAAGCAATTTATCTTATTTGAACTCTCGTCTCTTCCTTTCTTACAGGCCATCAGTACAGTTAATTCAGAAATATCCCCCTGCCCTGCCAACACACATATCCATTCTTTACTAGAAAATGATACTTCTGTTCCATTGAGGATTTTAAAATTCCTTCTAAAAAACCAGAGAGAATATAAAATATTTTCTAATCATTTTAATGAAATGTTAGCAGACTGAACAGAATTCCTGTTGCCTTTCTTTGATTTTCTATAATCAGAATGTATCACTTGTAATAGCCCTCTACCAAATGTTCCTCAAGAACAAGGATGGACAGCTATAAATGTTACAACAGGCTTAGAGAAGCAGTCATAGAAGAGAACAGTCACAAGGACAGACAGGGATGATTCAGGGAAGCAAAACACCTAAGGGTAGAAAGTGATTCTATCAATGTGCAATTCATAGGGGGGAAACTGGTTACTCTCAAGAACTGTGAAAGGTTGGAGATTTTATTCCTTGCAAGCTAAAATCTAGCCTGACACAATTTCTTGGATGCTAGTAGAAGACATGAAATTCCTGGACCAGTGATGAAGAAAGTTTCAATACTCACAGCAGTAGTAGTAGCCAGAGTATGAGCATTTTTGTGTCAGTTCCTGGGGCCTCCCCACAGTAATAGCAGGTTGTATTATGGAGAGGAAACCATGAGCTTAGGGAACATGCATCTTTTAGAGTAAGCATAAGCATGCCTGCCCTTTGCTCGGAGAGAAACATTATCTTCCTTACACCGAACAGTAGGTATGCTTACCGTCTGCTCCAACAGGCTTGAGATATTATCTCTATCTTCAAAGCCTGTATAGAAATATCCTTGAAAATTCAGTCTGGCAGAAAGGGCAGCCAGCACCTTGCTCACAAAATGTGCAGAAATACTAGAGACCCATGGAGAAGTGTCTCCCAATAGTCAATAATAAACTACTTTTTGCTATACCTTTAAGTGCTTGAAGACATGTCTGTTTTATACCAGTTTCAACTACTTCTAAAAGGTTATCAAAGAACTCAGATGTTAATAAAAACATGTAAAGGCAAGGAAGTAGCCTTCATTTTAAAGGAATAAGGCTATATTATCAGTGAGAATGGGTGCTCATTGTGCTTTAAAGATGACCAACACTCTATTATGGCTGATGTTTATCAGGAAAATAGCTACAGAAAACCTCTACCAAGAGACCTTACCTTGGTAGGCATTCATTAAATGAGTTAATAGGGCCTATAATTCTCTTCTCTTTCCAAAGAAAAAAAAACTTTAGGAAGGTTCTGTAGTCTTTCACACTGAAGTAACAATTCAAATATTCTATTCTGAGAGGTTTTATATTTCTTGGAATGTTGATATAGATGTGAGAAAGGAAAGAATTCCATGGTCAAATGAAGTTACAGAAAGGCTGGGTTCAGCAGAGGTAAATGGATATTTTTAATACAGGACTTCTCAGATTCCTAAGCATATTCATATGCATTGTCAGTCTCCAAGAGGGATGTAGCATGCTCCACATGAAGGTGACCATACCCCCTATTTCTTAGGATATTCAGAGGATAGAGTTCTACAGAAAGCTGCTTGGGAATGCCTCAGTAGAAATGACTATCTCACTGGCAATGGGTGGTGGAAGACTAAGGTACTTGTCTGACTGGTCTGCCCTGCTCCAGACTGGCTTCCCAGAGATAGCAGTGATGGATGCCTTCCTGCTTCCTTGATTAAATGTTGGTGATTATATCCAGTACTGACTGAAATCTAGGGAGGAGAAATATGTATGTTTTTTTTTAAGATTGATGTAAAAAGTTTTAGCACTGAACAAGACCTGAGAAATCACCTATTCCAACAGATTCATTTCAGAAAATGAGACTCAGGGATCCGAAAGTATTGAGAGACTTGTCCCAAGTCACAGAGTTAGTCAATGATAGAGCCATGCCTGGAATCTAGGTCTCATTAATCCCAGTTTATGATCTTTTTATTAATAGCAATAAAAGTGACCACTAATGATTATTATCACTGATACTGAGAAAGAAAACCAGGCTTTCTTGTATTTTTCCCAGAAAGGGAAACAACATGAGCCAATTTGGGAAATTAATAAGTGAACTCCAAAAAGGCTCAAGAAAATGCATCTTGTGTCAGTATGGGTGGAAACTTTGACAGCATCAGGGCATGGTTATAGCGTTTTCTAAGCATACAAAGCACCTTCGGTGATAATTATCCAAGGAGAGTCCTGTTTACGTAACAAGAGCATCTTCAGTTTCACTCCCCTGATAAGGTTTCTTGAGCCATCAATCTTCATTCCTAAAAGAGCAGCTTCTTAGTCAAAGGAAAGAAGCAATTCCTTACTCTTGAAATTAGGTGCTATGTCAGGGTTGATGTCACTCGTATTGGAAGCAAGTCCATGTTAAACTCTGTGACCTGATGTTCTGTGGTACATGCTAAATGCATAATATAAGGTGCTAAGGTAAAAGTAAACATTTTGAATCCTGGGAAATATGAGTCACCTTCCTTAGGTCTATCTTAAGTTTTTTTAAATAAATACAAAAGTTCAAACCCCTTAAGGGTGTATCATTATTTTCAGAATAATTCACTTCATGACTACAGCTAGTCATTTGTAGATTTAACTAATGAGTTATTACATATGAAGTCCTTAGATCAGTGGCTGTACATGCATAGTACATAGCAGCAAGCAAATATTATTTGGTAATGGAATTACAGCAGCGATATTTAGGTACAAAAAATAAGTCACTGCTGAGAATGTCAAACTCACTTTTCACTTCATACATATGCAATGTGTGAAAGTTATTTAGTTATCTTTGACCCACAGGAACAACAATTACAAGGATGAGGTTCTCTGCCTGGTATATTTCATGTTGCCTAAACTCAGAACCACAAACACTTTATGATCTTTAGTTAAGAGGTTTGTTTTCAATCATAAGATGCTTTTCAATTAAAGAGTAAGCTGTAAAATCACCTCATGCAGGCACATTTAGGATGTAAATATGCTATTGGGAAAAGCACAAATGAATGAGATTTTAACAACTACTGAGAAAGTACATCATTAACCTTATTGAATACACTTTGATGGATTCTGTTTAAAAATTAATATTCCTTTTCCATATGCTTGAACAGTGGTTAAGCATAAGAACTTTGAAATTAGACTTGCCTGGGTCCAAATCCCAGTTCTTCTACTCATATGACCTTTGACTAGTTACTTGTTTATAACATGCCTCAGTTTTCTCCTCTGTCAATAGGAGAAAACAAGACTGCCTGGACAGCTAGAGTCAATAAATGAGACAGCACATATAAAGCTAGTACTTTGCACATAATATATACCTAGTAAGTGCTTATTCATTTTTTCCAGAGAATATCTCCCAAATCAATGGGACCAACCACTTTTATCTTCTATTTGTTTGGGGTGGGAAAGGTGGAGGGAAGTTAAAATACACAAGGCTGGCTTTAGAAGAATTTGAACCAAAGTTTTGTAGTATTCTTTTTTTAGTCCTCAGCACCACCACTCTCTCATCTGGCACAAATTCAACTACCATTTTAGGGTCAAGACCACATTTGACCACATTACCTCTTGGGCAACTTCCTGCTCACAGGCATTTTCTAGGGTAGGTTTTATTCTCCTGGTCTTAACATTTTTAATGTCATAGAGTCAAGGATTTCAAAACTTGCTAAAGGTGAGTTTTATCTTGCAGCTTTTAATTCAGAAAGTGCTAATGGGTCCAACAGTTTAACAGCTAAAACTGAAAAGAACAATGTTTTCTGTTAGCTCAAGACCTTCCCACAAAAGCTCAGAAATGATCTGGTAGCAGATGTGTACAGCGTGGGTACAGAATGCTGGTGGTTTGGGTTTAGAATTCAGATTTTACTTTCACTATTACAAGGCAGGATCAACTGACATCAAGTGCAAACAAAAAAGCATGGCAGGCTGGTCTTCAAGGACAAACCCAGCACTGAAAAATCATGCTTTAAGCAGATAGATACACAGAAAACATAATTTTAGTATAAACTCTTTATGAGCTAAAGGGTTCAGGTTCTAGAGGTGAAGTTTAATACAAATTATACTGAAAGTCAGAACTGATACAAGAAATGGGAACATTTTAAAATTCATTGTTTCAACATGTAATACCAGACTCTATGCTAGGTGTTGACATAGGGGTGAAAATGCTGTAGTGAAGCAAAATGTGGAGATAAATGGCAGCACACCATGACAAGGGCTGCAGGGGCACAAAGGAGGGAGAATCACAGTTGCCTGGAGCCTGCAGAAGCATCACAGAGAAGGAGACTTTTGAAATATGCCTTCAAGGAGTGATACAGCCCAGCCTGCATTTTCTTGTAGCTAACAACAAAATGATACAATATAGTTATCACTTTCATATAATCCACTAGAAGAGTAGCAGATATTCTAAGCCTCACTGGAATCTTAACAAGGTATTGGTATTTCAACAGACTGCTGGGGAAACTGGGATTTAAAGGTTAAGAAGCTCAGGGTCACACAGTGAGTAGTGGACCCAGGATTTGAGCCCAGATCTGTATCCTTCCAAATCCTTTGCCATGGCCCGGCACCACCCAGAAAGATCTGCTTCTGCTCCCTGCTGCCAACCAGTACATGGTTAACTTGTAACTAAGTGGAGTCTAAGTGTGGGAACTCACCAGGAGAGGCCATCTAGGATGTCAAACATTGGTCTAAAGAATTGGATATGATGTGAAGGTCAAGATGGTGACTGTGTACACAGTTCACCTCGCCCCAGTTTCCTCTCTGTTCCCTGAACTCCAACCACATTTAGTTTGAAATGGTTCATTCTGATTCATGTGCATGCCAGATTCCCTTTGCCATGATCTGTGAACAGCTTGAAGTCAGGAAATAAGCTGTGTACTTTGAGACCCTCGGGGTCCAGCATTTATAGACACTGGCTGATTGATTACAGATTCACCTGGGCATTCACGCGAGATTGACAAATGTGGATGTTGATTTGAATTAGGTTGACTGAAGTCAGTTTACAAGCTCTAAAATAAGAAAATGTTATCTAAGCAGTATACCATAGTGGTTTTCAGATATGCCCCTCAGACTTGAGTGTGCACGTGAATCATCTGACTTCATTCAGAACTGTCCAGCTCACCCTATGAGAAAACAGGCACAAAGCAGACTGAAGTATTGCAATTAGGCAACTGGAGGTGGGAGGGAAGAAGCACCTTGTGGAGTGCATATCCTGTTTCCAAAACCTGCTGGGGTTCCTGCCCTTTGCTTTCAGGGCAATGAAGAATAGTATCTACATAACAGCTACCACTTACTGAGTACTTGTAACACGCTAGGTGCTGTTCCTGCTGAAGCTCTAGAGTACTGCATTTGTAATGCTGATGATGGGCACAGAAATGAAAAGTAGCAGTAACTCCCTTACATTTACACAGGAAGAGTAGGGATTTATTCCTGGTTTAAAGTCCAAAGTCTAGGGTTGAATGGTTCCTTGACAGTGGGTAACGAGGGAGCATTAAGGGATGCCTAAACTTGGGGCCAGGGTGCCAATGGTACAAGGATAGAGGTGTACTTGGAAAGCACTTGCAAAATAAGGCCTTCCATAGGTGTTTAGTGTCCTCAGTACTTGCCTCATTCAGCGTATAAATCCAGGTAAGGTGCTTAAGAGCTGGAGCTACAGTACTTGGGAGCTTGAATGGTACTTTAATTTTTAAGCAAATTGCTCAAGTCAGTCTCTGCCTTTTCCCCAGGAACTTTTCCACCTGCTGTCTCTGAGGAAGGCCCCACCCTAGATCTTTGTGTTGACCTAGGTTAAAGCTGGTGTTAGAGTCATCTCCCAAACCCTGAGAGGGTTTAATGTTGTCTTCCCAGAGGGATACCCAAAAACAGTACTACAATTGGAAAAATTCTCCTGGCAAGCAAAGGATAGGCAGTTAAAAACCTAAGAAAACAACTTATGGAACAACTTCCTTTTCATTTTTGGCTTGGAAATAGTGTAAAAGTAGGTGCCTGCTCTACTAAGTCTTGCTTTGAGAGAACAAACCAATTAATGAAAGATGATTGGTTATCTATTAATTGACCTTATTCATATACATCATCTTTTCCTGACTGCCAGGACAGAGCAAGTTTAATTTTTGGTGCTCATAGAATAAGGCATCCCGTAAGACTTTACTTAGTAATCTTGTCTGTACATTTTTTTCACTAGGCAGGTTTTGCATATAGATAACTGTCAGCTTTCAAGAAGGCAGAGCTCGCTTTTTTCTTCCGGAAATTGGGTAGGGGTATGTGGAGAAGAAAAGCATGACTCAGATTAACAAATACGGGAGAAACCCGTCCCCATACTCGTTAAACAACAGGTGGTTTTGATGTGCCTTATCAACTCCTTTATGCTCAGCACGAAATTGTAGGCGGAGCGTTCAATTTGAACGTCCGTGGAACCTGTGGCGGGTTAATGAGGGAACAGGGCAGGAATATGGGGATTCCTGCCGGAGAGGAGACTCGGGAGCCTCACGGTTCAGGGAAACTGGTGTTTGCCTTCCTACTTCCCGGTCTCTCAATGCGTCCCACCAACCCCTCCCACCCTCCAGGTTTTATGGGGTCTCTCAGTTCTTACGGGCTAAGGGAGTCACAGCGGAAGGATTATCTCTGTCCTGAGTCGAGTGCTCCAGCGGAGTTCCCAGAAGGGCTATTTATAGTGGAAGCTGCTCCCCTCTAACTTACCCCGGGGAGGAGCTGCGGCAGTGGAGCGGACGCTGAGCGCGGGGAAGCCTCGGGTTTCGGGGCGCGGGTTGGGATGGGGGGGTCTTCGACGCCGCCGATTCCCCAGGCGGAGCCGCCAGGTGGGCGTTTCAGAGGCCGGAGCGGCCCCTCCGGCAAGCAGAGGATGAGTTTTCCCCGCGTCCCGTAAAAGTCCCCAGCGGTGGGCGGCAGCCCTGGTCGGCCAGTGCCGGGCGTGGGGTGGTCTCGGCAGGGAAGGAAGTTCCCGGGCACGGCGGCCTGCGTCACAGCGGGGCTGGGGCCGCCGAGTGGGCTGGCGGGCGGCGGCGGCGGCCCCGAGTCCGGGCGCTGGGGGGCGCTGGCTGCCGCTGGCCCAGCTGAGCGCGGGGCGGCGCTGGAGGCGGCTCGGTGCGCGGCCGGGGAGGCGGAGGGGAGGGCTGCGGGGCTGGGGCGTTAGCTGCGTCCCGGCTCGGAGCCCGCGAAGAGGTCTAGAAGGAAGGCGCCGCCGTGGCCGCGGCAGCAGTGTTCCGGGCGCCACAAGCCATGAGCAGCGGCCCCGCTGTCGCTAGCCGCCGCTGAGCCCGACCGGGAGACAGCCCCCTGCGCCCCAGCACCTCCCCAGCTGGCACCCGCGCGCCCGGAGGTAAGGGCGGGACCGCGGAGGGATGGGGAGGGACGGCTCGCCGAGCACCGCGGGGCTCGATCCGCTAGGTGCGCGGGAGCCGGACGCGCCCCGCCTCGCCCGCGTCCCTTCCTCCCCCGGCGCTCGGCAGGCGGGATGTGGTGGTCTGCCCAGTGTGTGGTCCCGGGAGCCCTCCGGGGCTCGGGCTCAGGGACCCGCCACCCCTGCCCCACCCATCCCACGCCAGCCCCAGCGCCCGGCGAGGGACCCCAGCCTGGCGCCAAGCACCGCGCGATCGCCGCAGGTTCTGCGGACTTAGGGGTGGGGAGTGGGAGGTGGGACGCGGGGACGGGATGGGGAGTGGGAGGTGGGGGGGCGGGGGCGGGGTGGAGGGTGGAGGACGTGGTGAAAACGCGGCCACAGCTGGGGGCAATCGTCTTTCTATCCAACCTTCAAAATCCCGGAGACCCCAGGAGGGCCTGACCCTTCTAGCCTGCTCTCCCCTTGCTCCCCCCGAGCCCCCGAAGTTAGCACTTTGGGGGAAAGGGAGAGGAACGTGAAGGTCTTCGATGGGACCGAGAGCGCGGTATCTGACCCCTTGCAGGACCAGAGACGAGAGAGGGTTTAGCCGCCCGGGCGGGCCCCAGAAGCCAGGTGTCTTAGGCCGGCGGTTGAGACCAACACCTCTGCCTTCAACCCAAACCCAGACTCACAGGTCTTTCTGTTTGCAGCTGGATCCCAGCATAGAGGTGGTTAGGGATGTTAGCAACTCCGGAACCCTAGGATGGGCGCTGCAGACGCTGATTCCTTTCTTTTCTCCCTCAACCGATTCTGCCCTCCCCCACCCCATGCCTGCGGTCTACAGCAGATTACAGTTACTTAAGCATTTCACGCAGTATAACCACAGACACCTAGCTCACATCCCGGGACAGATATTTCAGTGTTAGGGCCAAACTTCACGTGGTTTCAGATTCTTTTTAGCATTGTGAACTCCCAGCAAACCAGTTAGTAAAAAACACTTTGAAGTTCCCATCCTCCTTAAATAATAAGAACTGATCAGTCTTTGTGGGACTGCCAGCACTGGGCAGAGGGAGTCTTGAGTGACCCTATTTGATGCAGCCTTAGCGGGGGTGGGTTGGGGGAATAGATAATGGAAATGGCAGCCCTATTTTAGTCACATTCTTCTTACAAGCATATAAGAAATGGATCCTGAACCAACGGTCTTATTTGTGGACAGGTATGTGGTGGTTTCCTAAAGCATACATGAGGCTTCTTCATGGACAAGTCATTAAAATGCCGGCTAAATGGGAGAGGGGCAAAAGTGGTGGTAAGCCTCTGGCTTGGCCCTACACTGAAACTCTCCAGAGCCAATCAGCTGCATACTTTTGTAAATTCTGTTTAATTTTTAAGGATTTGTATAAACCCCAAATGTAAGCTGAACTTCCCCAAATTTGCTCAGATTCATAAACCATGTGTTGAAAGTGTGGATTTAGATAACAGATTAAGATTGTATTCAGCTCTAATGTATACCTGCAATTCCTCTGACTAGCTTAAATAGGGAAGATCAAGGGTATAACCCTGATTTACTTTACTTTGGAGTGATTAACTTAAAAATTGTTTGTTTGTTTATTTGCTTCTAAGGGGTGATGGAGAGCAGCTTTGGAAGGATGGATATTTTTCATGGTTCACGTAATGGACTGACCACAGATAGGGCCAACAACCCAATAATGGTATCAGAAGTAGCAAGCATGTTTAACAATTTTTCTATCAATAAAATTTTCACAGCCTTTGTCAATGGTACTAATGTCTTATTTCTCAGGTTGCTTAAGTATTTTGTTTAATGAAATGTTTTTAGAAATAATGCTTTTAGTGAAAAAAATGTATTGGGAACTATAAGAAAAGTGAATAACTCTCTACACGAAGTTTATCTTTTAAAAGTAATACTAGGTTAGCAATATTTTTACTACTCTGAACAGTGGCTTCAGATACTCTGAAGGTATCCAATTTTTACCAAATTATTGTCAGGATTTTTTAAGAGTCTGTAGTGTTTTAAGTTATTGTCATCAATAACATTATAACAGAGCCCAAGTTTGAAAAGAAATAGTGTGGAAACATTTATTTTGTCAAGCATTGTGTTAATGATTTAATATAGCACATTGCTGTAATATAGTCAGGCTGCTCCAGGTACCTAACACACATTATTTCAGATTCTTACAACAAACATTTATGGTAGATGGTGCCTTCCACATTTTACAGAAGAAAGATGCTCAGAGTATGTGACTTGCCCAAGACTGTTCAGCTAATGTAATGCCTCAGTGAGGCCCAGCATTAATGAAGTAGTTTTCCATTATCCAAAGATGCTGCTTTTTTTCTTCCATAAGTTTACTGTTAACTACCAAAATGACTATATGAGAAAATGTAAATTGAAGAAATACATTCACCTGTCCAGAGTTTTTCATGTAACTGGCATATAGTGGAATTCACATTTGAAATCTGGGCCAACTGTTTCCCGAATCCATGTTCTTGCCATGGAACTCTATTAAATGACTGAGTTTAACCTACTGGGCATTTCGCTCCTGCTCATCAGTTATACTCATCCAGGTGACAATGATGGTCTCATAGGCTGCAGCACACGCCCAAGGTTTTCTACTCAAGCCCTCGAGTGCTAGCTATATCGCCAGCCCTGGATCACTGATGAAAACATTGCAGCCAATGAGGGTGACATTGTTGGGGAGGTATCCTTGAATTCACTTAATTTCTCTTAAAATATTAATCAGTCTAGATTGGCATTAGGAAAATAGCATGGCCTCAAGATAGAAAAAGCTGGTATCATATTCTGGCTCCACTGCACAGTAGGAGTGCAAACTAATTCAACAAATTCATTATTGAACTTCTCTGAGCCTCAGTTGCTAAGAAATAGTGTGGAAACATTTATTTTGTCAAGCATTGTGTTAATGATTTAATATAGCACATTGCTGTAATATAGTCAGGCTGCTCCAGGTACCTAACACACATTATTTCAGATTCTTACAACAAACATTTATGGTAGATGGTGCCTTCCACATTTTACAGAAGAAAGATGCTCAGAGTATGTGACTTGCCCAAGACTGTTCAGCTAATGTAATGCCTCAGTGAGGCCCAGCATTAATGAAGTAGTTTTCCATTATCCAAAGATGCTGCTTTTTTTCTTCCATAAGTTTACTGTTAACTACCAAAATGACTATATGAGAAAATGTAAATTGAAGAAATACATTCACCTGTCCAGAGTTTTTCATGTAACTGGCATATAGTGGAATTCACATTTGAAATCTGGGCCAACTGTTTCCCGAATCCATGTTCTTGCCATGGAACTCTATTAAATGACTGAGTTTAACCTACTGGGCATTTCGCTCCTGCTCATCAGTTATACTCATCCAGGTGACAATGATGGTCTCATAGGCTGCAGCACACGCCCAAGGTTTTCTACTCAAGCCCTCGAGTGCTAGCTATATCGCCAGCCCTGGATCACTGATGAAAACATTGCAGCCAATGAGGGTGACATTGTTGGGGAGGTATCCTTGAATTCACTTAATTTCTCTTAAAATATTAATCAGTCTAGATTGGCATTAGGAAAATAGCATGGCCTCAAGATAGAAAAAGCTGGTATCATATTCTGGCTCCACTGCACAGTAGGAGTGCAAACTAATTCAACAAATTCATTATTGAACTTCTCTGAGCCTCAGTTGCTTCATGTATAATGGAGTTAACAAAGCCTATCTAGTTGGGTTATTGTGCAGATTAAATGTAATAATCCATATACAGGACAGTTCCTGTCACCTAATAGGTGTTCAGTAAATGGTAGAGATGAACACCCCTGTATCCTAGCACTGATAGAAATTTCTGCTGTATTTCACTATATGTACATTTACATGCATGTAGTGATTAGTCATTGCTCTCAAGTGATTCACTCTTCAGACAGCTATTTAAGGGTCTAATCTAGCTTTTAGTATCTTTAACTTTGAATCACATCCTTTTTTTTGTAGTCCTGACTTATAAACATTTACTCCTGTAGTTTTTCCTTTGCTCCACTCTGCATATTTTTTAGAACTTTACTAGCCATATTGTAATGAGTTGGAATTTGTAATTTTTGGCAACATACTTCCTATTTTCTGCCTCTCCTGATTTTTCAGCCTGCTGACCACTTAGGGCAGCATGACAATCCCAGTATCTTCCCACCAGACATCTCACCCCTGACCAAGCCTCTACCAGCTGAAATTCTACATCTTTCTTCAAGGCCCAGCCTAAATACCACCTACTTCCTAAGCCCATATACCTTTCATTTAAAATCCTTTGTCAGCTCACTAATAATTCAGACAACATGTACCCCTAGGCTTTTAAATTTTTTTTTTTACTTTTTTAGTTATTTGCCCAGGGTAATATCCTATGAACAACTAAAGTTTTTGAGAACAGGGACATTTTTCTATTTCTTTATATTCTTTGCTTAGTATAAAATGTAGATGGTTTCTGTTTCCTGAATGAAAGATGAATTAGATATTCTGGGAGTGATCCTTACAATAATTAGGAAGGACACCCAAATTGTCTGTTATGTGATTATTAATGACTGCTGCTGCTTTATTCTGCAACTTATTTATCCCAGCCTTCTCCACCTATTTAACTGGTATTATATTTCCTGGAAGGCCATAGTTCTTATATCAGGCATGAACCAAAAGAAGCAGCTGGGCTGCCTACTTAGAAGCGTAACACACTGTTGCAAGTTCTGCGATTAGAAATCCAGGATCGTTTTCTGGTGTTGGGTGGGTGTCCTTTTACAATACAGTTCTGTAGTGTATGGTGTATTTAACTGAATGGCAGTTGGTCCAGAATGGTAATATAGGTTCAGAAAATGAATAAAGTTCAGAAAGAAGAAGAATTGACAAAAAAATCAATTTTAAGACAAATGTTTTAAAGCTTAGGGAAATAACTGAAAATGTTACAGATGACTGAAGTACGTTGAGTCAAAGGAACCCAGAAATAGATGTTATTTGAAGAACGCTTCTAAGGACTTGGAAGGACCAAAGCTAGTCCCATACTAGCCCCATAGACTAGGAGGGCGGGGGTAGAGCAAAGAGGAAAGTTAGTTTGGCTAATCCGAAGAACTGCCCAGGGCTTGAAACACCAGGAGAAAGATCATGGAGAGTTTAGAGAAGTGTTTCTCAACCTTTTTTTCATTATTACCCTCTCTCCATGAGGCTTTTTTAGATACATTGTAATTCCACAGATAGACTGTGTATCTGTTTACCTACTATGGCATTTTGGCAGACTACAAACCATTGTTTAGGATTATTTTTTATCCTGCCTCCTAGAACCAATTTTCAACAGGGGCAAGATTGCTCCCTGCTTGAGAAAACATGGTGCAGCATGAGTCTATATTATGTTCAAAAATCATAGAAGAGCCACATGGAATTAAAAGACATGAAGGAAAGTCAATATATATATTTTCATGAATGCATATGATACCTTAATTAACAAACTCTCTGGAATTAGATAGCTTTTCTTTTGCCTTTATAAAAAAGCATGCATTATTGGCTCTTAAACTGAAATACATGTGTCAAAAAATATAAGGCTTTTAATCCCAATTCCGCCTTGACAGGTGATTAAATTCATAAAGTTCTCTTCTAAAGCCTCTACCTGCATCCTTTTGTTTCCCGGATGGGAAGCCCTCTCCAAACTTTTAATGCTTAACTTTTAATGCTTTATTTCTGTTATGCTGAGAAGGCTCTGATATTAGCCATTCATTCTTTGTAACTAGTCAATTATATGTGAATATAAATCAATTTGTCTTTAAGAGAGCATTTGTATCTTAAGCCATTTATTTATAATTAAGAAACTCTGTGTTCCCTAAGAGATTTCACTTCATAACAAGTAGATATTTGGGAAAAGTAGGGCATCTAAAGTCATTCTTAGCTTTTTCATGTGCAATTTCTTGCTCCAGTTTCCCAAGGAACATAAGCCTGGGTTTCTGATGCCCAGTCTCGAGAGCTACAAGGGTTAGAGCTACTTGGCTTCTCTTGGCATTTTGAACTTGTTGCTATTTGCATGCTTCTTTCCCCCAAAACTGCTCATTCTCATCTCCTCCAGCTTATATTTTAACCATGTCATTCCTTTCCCTTTCCTTTACTCTCAAACCTCTAGTAATTGTTTTTCCAACATCTTTTCTGTCCTTTTGGTTTATGGAGCTGCACTGAAACTTCTATAAGGGCAGAGGCCACATCTGTTAGGTCCCTTCTGTAGCCACAGCACCTGCCAGTGCCTGGGACACAGCTGCTCAGGACACATGTATTTACAGTAACATTTCTAACCTACTGTCTTCATGTATCCATTTACATTTTTATTACTTTAAATTCTAGTAATGAAATGTGATAGTGTGATTACAAGTCATCCTTTATAGGGCCATGAAATAGGTACATGGAAATACTCTATGTGCAGTTAGGAGCAAATGTCATGAGGCCTGAGATTAGATATAATTATATGGTATATGTTTTTATATTTAAGTTGTTAAGTATTATGTAATATGAAGTCAGGACATAAAAATAAGTCCTAGGCAAAAATATGCAAAATATGTGAAAACTCATCAGTCCTGTGAGTGCTCATTGTATATTTGAAGAACTTGCCAAGTCAATAGAAATTACCAACTAGTGTTTCTCAAATATCTTTTGAGGTTTGTGAAAATCAGAAACCGGTTCAAATATCTTTTTTTACTGGGAGAGATATAACTTATAAATCCAACTTTTGGAAAAATACAATAGAGGATTATTAAACTAATATTACTTGACTATGAGAATAACTTCATTAGGAAAATACTGTTAGGTTACTTTGTATTATCTCTCTTGACATTGGCAAGGTCCAGAATAATGTTCTTATCAGCTGAATTAGGAAATACTGTCCTGCACACACACTTTCTAGTTAGTGCATAGCTATGTGGATCCCTATAAGCAGAAAGTGGTTAAAGTTGAGGAGCTAGCAGCTGGAGGTATGTCTAGGCTTTAGATCTGAGTTGAGTGCCTAAGCATTTGGACATAAAAAAAAGTATGTATCTGATATTTCAATAAGGTAGATAGAGTGACTTGGTGTTGATACAAGGATTGGAAGTGAGCTTAGCAAAAAAAATGTTAAAGTGTAATTGAAAGTGAAAGGAAATAGTCAAAATGAAGCAATGAAATTCATCTGAGGAAAGTATAGAGGCATACCTTAAGGAAAACTAGACCAACCAACTATACAAATGTACTAGATTTTTGTTTGGTTGTGTTGTTTCTGTATCACCATATTTAGAACAGTGCCCCATGTGGCAAAGGATCAATAAATATTTGTTAAATGGATAAGTGAATGAAATGCAAGATGGAGAAAGAACAACTACATGCCTAACTAGGGCAAAAGCAGAATTATTCCAAAGGAGATGATGATGGAGAGCCAGGAGACTGAATAGACTGTTAGAAACTTTTCTGACAAATCATTTATGAGCATATGCTAAAGTTCTATTTCAGTCTTACACACAAGATAAAGGTTTCTGATAGGTCATTTCAAAAACTCATT